CAAAGGGATGTATCCCCACGACGAAGGGAGCATGATGCAGAGAGGCCCAGGGAAGGGCGTAGGCACCAAAGAAATTGGCAAACTCGAGATGAAACCCCTATTCACGAGGTGGATACCATATTTGGAGGTCTGTATGTTGGCGGTGAAACACGAAACGCCAAAAGGAATTATGCTCGGGAGGCTAAACACCCCGCTTTGACAAGCTACATTGTGGGTAGTAGCTCCCGAAAAAACTAGGTTCCACCCATTGTCTTCACCCAGGAAGACGACGAGGGAGTTCATTACCCCCATTACGATGCACTTGTGGTGAGGGCTGTCATAGCCCGGAATGGGCTCAAACGAATGTTAGTTGATAACGGCAACTCCGTCAACATTTTATTCGGATCCACCTTTGACAAGATGATATTGGATCATCAGCTGACACCCACTACCACTCCATTGTACGGATTTATCGGATATAGCATCATTCCGAGGGAAAAGATAACACTTGCAGTGGAGATGGGAGAATCCCCACGAACAACGACGAACTTCATGGAGTTCCTCATTGTCGACAGCCGGTCGGCTTACCATGGATTGTTGGACAGACCAGCCCTAAAGGAATTGGAGTAGTCACCTCCATCCACCACCTATGCATAAAATTCCTGACAGAAAATGGGATACCAATGGTCAGAGGCGATCGAAGAGGCTCGAGAGAGTGCTATCTAAGCTCTATCAAGAAGGTAGAGCCCCGGGACGTCCATGTAATCATAGCTAATGTGGCCATGGCTGATGTCCCAGGTGATGCTCCCACCAAACAAGAAGATGTTGATATGATTGACGCACCATCTAATCCGGAGGTGCTGGTCATTAATGAGATTGACCCCCGCATAATGGAACAAAAGCCTCAAGCATCCCCAGTAGAGGAACTTGAGAGCTTCTCGGTAGACCCCTGAGACCCATCAAAGGTACTGAAGGTAGGCAAATGCCTATCCAACATTCTGAAAGAAAAGATTAAGGATTTTCTGAGCAAGAATCTTGATGTCTTTGCCTAGAAGCATGAGGACATGGTAGGCATAGACCCCAAGGTCAGCTGTCACCACCTGAAAATCGATCCTAAGGTTGCCCCGCATAGACAAAAAAAGAGAGCCCTCAATCCCGAGAGGTATGAGGCCCTAAAGGAAGAAGTTCAGAAGCTCATCCAAAATGGCTTCATCAGGGAGGCAACCTACCCGAAGTGGGTCTCCTACCCGATTTTAGTAAAGAAACACAATGGCAAGTGGAGGGTGTGCACCGACTTCACCAACCTCAATAGAGCTTGCCTGAAAGACAGCTTTTCACTCCCAAGGATTGACCAACTAGTAGACTCCATGGCTGGGCACGAGTTGTTGAGCTTCATGGACGCGTACTCCGGCTACAACCAAATCCCCATGCACCCGACCGATGAAGAGCACACCTCATTCATCACGGACCGAGGCCTCTATTGTTATAGAATGATGCCCTTCGGGTTGAAAAACGTCGGAGCAACCTACCAACCTCATTGGCAAAATAATGGAGGTCTATGTAGATGACATGCTGGTAAAAATTTTGGAGGCTGAGGACCATATAATGCACCTCAACAGCACTTTCCAAATCCTAAGAAGGTATAGGATGAGACTCAACCCCCTCAAGTGTGCCTTTGGGGTAGCCTCTGGCAAATTCTTGGGGTACATGGTCAACCAACGAGGAATTGAGGCCAACCCCGAGACGATTGACGCTCTATGCAAGATGAGGTCCCCTCCAAAAGTCAAAGGAAGTGCAAAGTCTCACCGGGCGAGTGGCCGCACTTAGCCGCTTCGTTTCCAAAGCTACAGACAAATGCCTCCCATTTTTCAAAGTACTGAAGGCTGGGAAGAAATTCCAGTGGACTGAGGAATGTGAAGAGGCCTTTCAATGCCTGAAAATGCACCTGGGACAAGCCCCCCTCCTCTCCAAACCGAAACCCGGTGATATCCTACAACTATATTTGGCCGTCTCCAATGAGGTCATCAGCTCGGTTCTGATACGGAAAGAAGGGTCCACCCAACTCTCCGTATACTACACAAGTAAAGCGCTCCTATCGTCAGAAACCCATTACCCCGATATGGAGAAGCTCGTTTTGGCCTTGATCACAGCCTCTAGGAAATTGAGACCCTACTTCCAAGCTCACATCATCTATATCCTGATGAACTTTCCCCTGAGGCAGGTACTCCAAAAGCCCGATGCCTCAGGAAGGTTAATGAAATGGGCAGTGGAACTAAGTGAATTTGACATTGTGTTCAAGGTTAGGGCAGCCATTAAAGGGCAAGCGTTGGCTGACTTTGTGACTGAATTCGCCAACCTACCCGAGGTGGATGAAATCATGGAACTCGCAGAGCCCTCCACGTGGAACCTCTTCGTTGATGGGTCTGCTGGGGATGTCGGCTTAGGTGCCAGGATTGTCCTCATCAGCCTCGAAGGTCACAAACTCACCTCGGCGGTGAGGTTCGGATTCAAAGTTACCAATAATGTAGCAAAATATGAGACACTTCTTGCGGGCCTCAGGCTGGCCACAGAAATGCAAGTAAAGAGGCTACCCATTAGTAGTGACTCCCAACTGGTTGTTAGCCAAGTCAATGGTAACTTATCAGCCAAAGAAAAAACAGTGGCATCCTATCTGAAAATGGTGATGAACCTCATCACATCCTTCGAAAAATTTGAGTTGATCCAGATCCCCCGTATCAAAAATGCGCATGCGGATGCACTCTCGAAGCTGGCTAGTAGCAAGGAATTAGAGCTACTCACAATAGTACCTATTGAGCACCTCCTCCTGCCTTCGATCGAGGCCCCTACTGTAATGTGGATCACTAGAATTCCCACTTGGATGCAGTCAATCATAGCATACCTCAAAGACCAAGTACTGCCCACCAACAAAAATGAGGCTTACAAGCTAAGGAGGAGGTCAGCCCACTTCCTCTTCATTGATGACATTCTATACAAGAGGAGCTTCTCCTCTCCTCTCCACTCTTACGGTGCGTTGGAGGAGAAGAGGCTACCTACATATTAAGAGAAGTCCACGAGGGCGTGTGCGGCAACCACTCCGGAGGTCTATCTCTAGCACAAAAAATATTGAGGTAGGGGTACTACTGGCCTACCCTAAAGCGGGATCTCCTCGAGTTTGTACGAAAATGCGACAAATGTCAGTGTTCTCTCCTGTGCAAAGACAGCCATCGCAGGATTTGACCGCCGTCTCCAGCCCCTGGCCTTTCTCAAAATGGGGTGTGGACCTCATAGGTCCCCTACCTAAGGGTAGAGGAGGGGCGAGTTTTGCAATTGTGGCCATTGATTACTTCACAAAGTGGGTCGAAGCTGAACCACTAGCAAAAATCACTAAAGCCAACACCTCCAAGTTCTTATGGAAAAATATTATTTGTCGGTTCGGAATTCCCTACTCAATTGTCTAAGACAATGGCAGACAGTTCAACAACAAGAAGGTTAGAAAATTATACGAAGAGCTCAGCATAAAGAAGCACTTTTCCACACCTCACCACCCACAAGCAAATGACCAAGTTGAGGCCATGAACAAGACAATCAAGCACGTCCTGAAAAGAAAGCTTGATGTATCAAAAGGGGTCTGGGTTGATGAGCTAGCCCAAGTCCTTTGGGCGATCCGAACCACCACCAGGACCCCAACAGGGGAAACGCCCTTCCTCATGGCGTATGGAATTGAGGCAATGAGCCCCGTGGAGGTCAGACTTCCATCTCCAAGATGTCTGCTCTTCAGTGAGATAACCAACGATGAGATTCGGAGGTTAGACCTCGACTTCATCAAAGAAAAAAAAGATGACTCCCAATTGAAGCTCGGCACATATCAGAGAAAGATGACAAGGTTCTTCAACTCAAAAGTTAAGAAGAGGTCATTTCGAATCAACAATCTCGTACTCAAGAGGGTCTTCCTGTCCTCAAAAGAACCTGGTTCCGGTTCCTTAGGCCCGAACCAGGAAGGTCCACACAAAATCAGAGAAGGGGTTCGACCTGGGACTTACTGGATTGAAGACATGAACGACAAGGCACAACCCCGCCCATGGAACATAGAACACCTCAGGATCTATTACCAATAAATGTACTATCTTGCTGGATGACCTTTCCCAGCCTTTGTAACATTTCTATGGTTCAATAAAATTTAGCGATTAAATTAACTTGTACTACGTCGTCACCTCGGAGTAGAGGCTCGCGTCCCACCTCTGGGCCACCTCTCTTGAACTCCGAGGTGCTAGCACATGCCTCCCTTTGGCCAGGCTGAATGCCAAGGGAAGAAGTTTCAGCATGGCTGCACCATTCACCATGTCTGGGATGCGTCATCACCTCGGAGGAGAGGCTCGCATCCCACCTCATTTGAATTTCGAGGCGCTAGCACATGCCTCCCTTTGGTCAGGCTGAACGCCAAGGAGAGAAGCCTTAGCATGGCTGCACCATCCACCATGTCTGGGATGCGTCGTCACCTCGGAGGAGAGGCTCGCGACCCACATTTGGGCTACCTCGCTTGAACTCCGAGGCGCTAGCACATTACTCTGGCCAGGCTGAACGCCAAGGGGAGAAGCCACCTCACGTGCAATCCAAGGCTCGCTTAAAATCCGAGGCTCATACAGTTATTATGCTTAAATAAAGTTCATTTGCTTAAGTCCAAAGCTCATACAGTTGTTCATTCGCTTAAATTCGAGGCTCATACAGTTATTACGCTTAAGTAAAGTTCGTTTGCTTAAGTCCGAGGCTCATATAGTTCATTTGCTTAAGTCCATGGCTCATACAATTGTTCAATCCAGTTGTTTAAAGTGATTGAAGTTAAGGTACCAAGTTCAAATTATTTTGTTAGTGCTTCTGTCAACTTTTAAGTTCACTTGCTTAACGAGGCGAGCACACTTGGATAAAGAAACAATGAATGAAAAAGGCATTATATTGATATTCAATAAGGATTACAAAAGTGGGCCTCAGGCCATTACATTCGAAAGACTGAAAAGAAAACTAATCTAAGCTTGGGTAGATGGGGGAGGTGCCTCAGTACTTGGGGCTTTGGCAGCTTGAGCATCCGCATTTATCTCCTCTACCTCAGCTGCTTCATCACCCTGCACCTCCTCAGTAGGGGTCTGAGGTACCTCGTCCACGAATTCAGACCTGAGTTGAGTTAGATCCAAATTGGGATACAGTTCCCCTGCCCGCTCCATCATCTCAGCGTAGGCAAAGTTTCTCCAGTAAGCACTGAAGCTCTTGTACTCCTCCGTATTATGGAAGTTGGCAACGTACTCCCGCACCACTTCCTCCCTCACCTGTTGAGCTTCCTCTCTTGCGTGGGAGGCATCATCCACATACCACTTGATTTGGGTTTCCAAGAACTGGTAAGCCTCTTGGGCACTCGCCAAGGAAAGATTTGCCTTCTCAAGGGCCTCGGCGGTCACTTTCGGTGCTCATTGGAGACCTCCACCTTCTTTGTCAGGGATGCCACCTCGCACTGTAACTCATGGACTTCCTTCTTCAAGGCCTCGATCTGGGCCAAGGCAGACTCTAGCTTGGCCAATTCTTCAAGTTTTTGGGCCCTAGCTTCTTCCGCCTCAGCCCTAGCTGCCTTCAACTCCTCTGCAAGGGAGGCTCTCTTTTCCTTCAAAGACTGGATCCTTGTCTGAAAATCACTCGGGGCCTCTCTGCATTCAAGAGCGAGGCCAAAGGTTCTGACGCTTTGGCTCACCAAAGCCCTCGTCAGGTCGGTACCATCGCAGGAGGAGGCATGCAGCTGCCACCTGTCCGTCCAAAACTGGTAAAAGTTCTCTGCGGCGCTCCGGACCTCCTGGGGAAGAGCCTCCACCAAGGCTAGGGCCAAGGTCTCCTCCCTTCCAGCTAGGAAGCTTGGAGACTTCCCCTTTTCCCGAACAAGCTTTTGTTTTGCTGCCTCCTCCTCAGCAGCTCTCCTCGCAGCCTCCTCTCTGGCCTCCTCAGCCTCGACCTCTCTTACCATCTCTATTTTGATGGCTTTGGAGGTGGATGCGAGCAGCTTCGGCTCGCCTGTTGATTTAGCCTCGTGGGACACTGATGTCCCAAATTTCCCTGACGAGCTGGTGACGTGCACCAGCTTCCTCCTCTTCGCCTCCTCAGGGACTTTCTCTTTCCCCCGAGGCTGTTTTGGCTTCTCCTGCCTCTGGGGAGCCCCCTCTTCGGAAGCCTTTGGTGTGCTATCCTTGGAAAGGTGTTCCACCCTGCCTCGGATCTCCTTGGCCCCACTGAACCCCAGCTTCAGGGGCCTCGCCTTCACAGTCGTGTTGGCCTTCAGAATTGTAGCCATGTCCGGAGCTGGGTACTCCCTCCTCTTGAATTTATTTGCATAGCACGTCAGGTCAGCACATCAGTATCCAAACAAAAAGACAAGAAAATTTACAACTATGGGAGCCTCGTACCTCTGGAAGCCATCGGTCCAAAATCCAGGAAGTAGCGACACTTGTCGATCAGGTGGTCAAAGTGGCGGAGCTTCAGAGGCCTCTTATAGATATCCTCTATCACCTCGAACTCTTCCCTGCTGAGCTCGAACCTCGTACTATAATCTGCAATGGAAGCCCCAATAGTTAGAAAAGTTCAAGTGTTCAATTCAGAAGCACAAGCAGGTGCTGAGAGACTCACGAGCTTCGTAGTACTAGGTCGGCACTGTGCAAGAAAGGGCCTTGTCCCCCTCCACTGCCTGCCATTTTCCTCACACCCAGAACCAGGACTCCTTCCACCCCTTGATAGAGGAAGGCAGTCCCACCACAAAGGGTGCGTGAGCCCCCCAAGGTGTAAGGTAATACCACCCCCTGGACTCCTTCCCAATGACCCGGGGCTGGAAGAGGGTCATCAATACATGGAGAGGCATGTCCTCCCCAAGTGACACCTCCTTCCACAGGAAGTACGAGCCGACCAACTGGCTCCACCCATTTGACAGAATCTGGGTCGACGACAACATAAAATTCCTCAGCACTGCCCTAAAGAAGGGGTGCAGAGGAAGACGCATACCTGCCTTAAACAGGTATTCACTGACTACCACACAACCGGGCCTCGGATAGCAAGCTCGCTCGTTTGGCTCGGGAACTAACATTTCTATGATGTGGGGGACACTGTATCTCTCCCTGATCTCCCCCAACCTCTTCCACGTCATACTTGAAGGCACCCTAGACGCCTCCCACTCTTCGGTATAATCTACTGGGTCCTCGGTCATGGCATATCTATCAACCTCAGAATCCCCGCTGTGACTGACCCCACAATCTAGCGAAGCTACTGTCACCAGCTCCCTACCCAAGGTGGACTCCATTTCACAGTATTAACACAGAAATAAAAGGGCTCTTCTAAGAATAATACCTAAGGAAGGAACTACGCGAACAGAGATAGGGAGGAGAAGGAAAGAACAAACAGTCTCGACGCCGGAATGTTCAAGATTTGAGAGAGACTCATATTGCAAATTTTCAAAAGTCCTGAAAAATGAGATTTTCTCACCTTTTATAGAGGTCCAGGACGAACCCCAGCCGTCAGATCGAAGCTTAGTCAATCTGAACCCTCCATTGTAGATCAAATTCGAGACGTTGAATTCAAACGATTTTTCAAACCTATACCTCAGATTCAAGCGTGCTTCCCACTCACCCCTTCCAACGCGTCTGCTTCTAGAACCTCCAACTGTTCTCATAATTGTGTTTTTAATTCGACGGCAGCAGGCGCCTTGGAAGTCATACGGGTCAGCCACTTTTCCTCGAAAATAAGCACAAACCATCAAATCATTAGCACAGCTATCGACGCACAATCATTCCCAACCACCTCGGCTTCCACTTCAACATTCAGCCAACAAGCCTTGCAGGTTCGGTTTCCCAACCACCTCGGCCTCATCTTCAACACAGCCTCATCTCTAACTCTAACCATGACATAAATGACCATACTTGGACTTGGGGGACTATTGTTGTGTATTGTCATACTTGGCCAATCCACTTGGGCCAATGGCCCACTCATGCCTAACCACATGGCACTCCAGCCGAGGTGGCAATTGCCGAAGCCCTTCAAGCCGAAGTCTAATGATCGAGGCTCCCTTTTAGTGAGGCCTGTGAATGTAACCGAGGTCCACATGCTAAGGCCTATGAGCCGAAGCCATGATGCTGAAACTGGTTGAAGTTAGCTGAAGCTTTCAAGTGGAAGTATTGTATGAAATGGTCGAAGCCCCAAAACTGATGCAGGAGCCTCCAAACCGCAAAGGAGCATCCTCCATGGTCACTTCTCCCAAGAGATCGCCTACACAAAGATCTTATTCGAATTATTGATGGAATATTTGTCATAAGCATAAAGGTCAAGTCTTGTCACTAGTATGGGGGCTCTGCACAAGCAATAAATGCGCCGCAAGCTAGCCAGTCAAACCTCATGCCTAGGATAAGATGTTTGAATCGAAGAGATGAAGCCACGTGTCATCTCATCCAAGGGCTCCCATTTCACGTGTACCACTATAAATACTTCCCTTGTGTAACATCAAAAGGCTAATGCAAGAATCAATACAAAGAACTACACTTTACTCAACTCTCTCTCTTTTACTTGCAATACACAAATCGAGTTTATACACATTTATATATACGTTTACGAACACCGATTGATAATTATTATACAATCGGATCACGAACAACCTGCCGGATTCTGAACGTCACCGTCTCGCATCGTTGGGTTACTCCCACTCTTTGAACCGCTCGTTTTAAATCGTCCATGTGTTTTAACTTGTTGGACATTCGCCCACGTGTGCGCGGGTGGGACCGACATCTTTTGACAACATTTTTTGGGATCAACATATAGCATACTCCAATCAATTATATCTAAGCAAGAGCTCCATCGTATCCACCCGCGTAAAATGATGTTTTGCCACCATTTTAATTAACCTGCTTAACATCCAAAATGCTAGATCCCAATCAATACTCCATCCCAAAATATATAAAATCACCAAATTTCATCTGGAAAAAAAAAAAAAAAAAAAAAAAAACTCCCAGGCCTATGAGGCTCGAGATAAGTGGCATTTCCCAAAAAGAACTCCTTAGAGGTGGAAACGGCACCTAGGATGTCCAAGAAGTCGGCCACTCATGCTCAAACAAAGGATTTCCTACAAAATTCCAACCCAATGAATTAACCACATGTACATCACAACTAACAAATTGGTATACATATACATGATATGATGATATATGATTGGATCAAAAAACTTTCAACCAAAAAAAAAAAAAAAAAAAAAAAAATTCATCCCTTACTCTCTTTTTGACACTTCATCTATCTATAAAAATTTTTGTAACTCCTTATATATCAGTAGAATTATTCATAAATTAATGCAGTGGTTGACATTGACGACAAATGCTTGGATTAGTTTAAAGTCGGAAAATAATTATAATTTTTGACCCTACTCTTTTGCTTATGTCCTTTTCCATTAATGGAGAAATACTACTCTTTCGCTTACGTCCTTTTCCATTAATGGTGAAATAATTGGATGGGAAACTCCAAAAATATGTTACTTTTTGATTAAAAAAACGACACCGCATATATATATATATATATATATATACACACACACACACACTATTTACGTGAATTATTTATATTTTTATTCGTATTTTTACTTGATTATGCTTTTACAGAAAAATTGTACACGGACGAAAATGAAAGGTTTTTAAACTTTTGGAGGTAAGATAATCGAACAAATTGATGCTAAGGTTTTCATTTCCTAAATCTTTGTTGTAAAATTTTTTTACGTGTATGATGAAAATGAAATGCCATAAAAGTTCCGCGTAGAGATAATAAACTTATTGAGATAATATTTTTCCTAAAAATTGTATAAATCTAACTTCCATGAAAATCCATTGAATTCTCTCGCTGTTTTAAATTCTTGAAAATGTGAAAATTTTATTTATTTTTATTTTTTGTTGTGTATTGACACTTTTTGTTTCACGAACATTTATCCTCCGTTTGGTAAATTTATAAAGTGGAACTATAGCGAATCATATCAAGTACGTGAATAATGAGTAGTAATTATAGATACGTGATTAAAATAATGTTTAATTTTTATTGAATTTATAAATTGTATCTAAACGGACACTTAATTGGTTCCCAGTGGGAAACTATGGCCATGAAGGGTTACCCTGCCCCGAATATGGAAGCATGAGTGTCCCGTTTTGGATCCCACAATACTTTGCATCAATGAGCCTTATAGCTAGCTGATAAACCTTTTGCCTATGATATGATATTCATTTTGGTATGAACGTTTGTCGTTGCCCAAAATAAGAGCCATAATTTCTCATGCATCATGAGCATATTTGCGACTCCTACCCAAACATGAAAATAAGCATCGAACCAAAAAATTAACGAATGATCCATCCACTAACGACCAACTAAAAATTTTGATTGGAGACATACCCGAATAGTTTGTCAAAATTTAAAGATCACGACTACAATTTTCTTCGAATTTCTAGAATTTTGGGGATAAATGCGCTTTCGTGTTTCCAAAAAGTAAAAGGTGGAAGAAACTTTTTTGCAACTGACTAGGATTAAACCAATGATAATTAGAAGAAATTTTTTGCCACTGACTAGGATTAAACCAAGTATAATTATGATTAGAGTTGTCAAGTTAGTACTATTATTTTTTCACGCTTTAAAGCACTAATCCGTTGGCACTCATTTCCTTTCAAATATTAAGAATCTGTCGATAACACGACCCACCAAATATTTTAGTGAAAGGCCAACAACGGAAATTGAGATAAGAGCATCTTCAAAAGGAATGTGAATTGCACTAATTATGGGTTACGTCAACAAGAGATAGGATACCGAGAAAGAGTGAAATTAAATTATAAAAAATTAAACAACCACATCCTTCGATAAAAATAAATTATTAAAATTATATAAATGATATATAATACACCTTCCAGGGGTGAACTGTCGAACACATTTTGTTGCATTTCACCATCTCGTCGGCAGATATCTAAGGTAATCAAAATTTGAAGTAGACACATGTCCACTTGCCCAAGTGGGTTTATAAATTATTCTTATTTTTATATGCATTATTGTCATTGCTTAAAGTATAAAGTTAAGGGGAAAAAAAGCAACTTTTAGGAAAGTTTTTGAGTTATTATTATAATATGAACTTAAAAATCAAGTACGGCTCTTTTAACAAAGTGTTCTTATTTTTACTTATTTATTACTATCCCATTTGTTTCCTGATACACGGCATGGATGAAGGTGCAATTTGATGACATATTGAAGTTCCCAAAATTTAACTAAACAAAGATTTCATTTAATACTCAACAGTGACATCGTTAATTAATTGATGAAAACGTTGTTTAATTTTTTAGGGTTTAAAACGGTTACTGATGGCTTTCCCTTCTCATTTAGTTTTTTGGACAGTCGATGCACAATGTTTTTTCATCGTCAATGCACAATGGTAAATTTTTTAGGGTTTAAAAAACTTAACTCTCCATCTAGATATCTACTAGTCGACATTGAAATATAAAAATACAAATACAAATACTTTTGATCTCTTTTACGCTCAAAATTAAATAAATCTTTTGATTATCGTTGTCAATATTTATTTACAGTCAAAAAATTAAAAACTTAAATTATAGATAGCCTTCACGGTATGTTGTGCCAATAGGGTGCAAAGGACTGCAAACGTGCATCTGCATATGCCCACATATAATAACAATTTAGCCTCATTTAGATTATAAATTTATAAATAATTTGTAAATTCAATTAAATTCAAATATTAATTTGAACCACGTTCATAATGTGAACGACTAAGATGATGAAAGGTGCAAAGTCCAAAATCATGTTTTGGGAGGTCTAAATTGCTACAAAATCACCTCGTGGATCCTTTTCATGTCGTGTTTACACTATGTCAAGGTGATGCAACAAGTCTGCTACTACACTATGGAATAATGATCCTATTGGTCTCAAGGAATACCTCAATCCTCTCCATTATATTTGTAAGCAATGAAATTACAAAAAAATTAAAAAATAAGCTACTAAAGCGAAAATGAAAATAATCAAAGGTTGGAATCAAAATAAGTGGTAGTGCATTTGGTGTGGCCCAGTGACGCAAAAGTGGGCGAAGCCAACTGGTTCAGACTGAATTGATTGCAGTGGGACTAATGCCACCAAACTTACTCTCAGCTCCAGTATCTTTCTCTGATAGCCACACCTTCCACTATCTTCCACTTTAAACAATGAATGGAGGAATAATTAATCAATACATGAAATAGCTTCAAAAAAATAATAAAAAAATTTGGAAGAACAAAACTAAAATATGATATAAAGAACGATTTGAAAATTATTTGTGCTCCTTGAAAATTTGGATATATTATATATATTGAAATAAGACGTATATAGGGTTTGTTTTACAAATTTTTTGATAAAAGTTTTAGTTTTTTTTTTGGTTATAAAAATTAATAAAATGTGAGGTTGAAAAAGTTGATCAAAAAATTATGAATCCATAAAATGTAGGATTAAAATTGAAGTATGATTAAGATTAAATTTTTTATTACTTCTATTATAAAACCTATCATATCTCTCTCTCTCTCTCTCTCTATGTAAAATTGTCGCGTAAATACAGAATTTCATTTCAATGACTTATAAACTTGTGACGAAAGATTTTTCTGGCACTCAATAGGTTGGGTGGATCGTAATTTTTTCTCTCATAAGTATGTATATACGCATGTCAGACAAATCTAATTTTAAATTTCCTACATATATAACCCTTACAATGAATTCGAATTGGATCTTTTGAGTGCAATATTCATAATAATTTTAATAATCTAACATACTCTTTTATCTTTGGACCTCAATCTAGCAATATTCTATTTAAGTGGTTGGTATCCTTCAAAAAGGAATATTGTTTTTCATCAAATAAACTTTTGCTTTTTAAATTTATTTTCTGATTGTGGAATCAGAAGGTGACCATGGGAAATCTTTAGATTCTCATAATCCTTGTCAAGAAAATGAAAGACAAAAAAGTGGGTTACTTTTTTTACTAGTAATCTTCTGCTATGTGAGAGTCACATGAAGGACCGAATCTTGTTCATGAGCATAAAGAGCATATCTTATACGCACAACACTGAATGGTAATGAAAAAAATTGAAGAGTAATTATTTAAAAAACGTAATTAAAAAAAAAAAAAGTCTCTACTTGGGTTTCATTTCATTTTATTAAAAATTATTTTTCAAAGTCGAACATTATTTTCACCATAAATTTTTATTACCTATTTTTCCATCACTCAATTGGGAAAAAATTAAAAAATAAATAAATAAAAAATAAAAATAGAACGAGACACAAAACATAAGAACGCTGTCAATAAAGATCCCAACACACAATAGGTGAAATATGAGCAATGAACACGTTTTTAAGGGTTATTATCCCATCAGCTAGTACGTGAAAATAAGAAAAGCTAATCTAGACGGCAGCCACCGTCTCGCCACCGGAGGCGGCGGTTGCAGCTTTCTTCTTCGATACGAATGAACACTTCTCTTTTCTCTCATCCTGAGTCATCTGTTGTTGTCTACACTCTGAACTGCAAAAAGCACTATCTCCCCTGGACAAAATGAATTAAGAAATAATTAGATCAAAATAATTCATTACCCTATCAATCTTGTATTTTGTAGAGGTTGACAGTATTGCATGTAAATTCGTATAAAATTAATTCAGACTTTTTTAAAGGATGATTGATCTTCACCGCTAGAAAATAAATCCAGGTCAAGAAATTCTAGAGAGAGAATCTAAGTACTAAGGAGGTTGTATAGATATATACCTATACTAGGTGAAATATGAGCAATGAACACGTTTTTAAGGGTTATTATCCCATCAGCTAGTACGTGAAAATAAGAAAAGCTAATCTAGACGGCGGCCACCGTCTCGCCACCGGCGGCGGCGGTTGCAGCTTTCTTCTTCGATACGAATGAACACTTCTCTTTTCTCTCATCCTGAGTCATCTGTTGTTGTCTACACTCTGAACTGCAAAAAGCACTATCTCCCCTGGACAAAATGAATTAAGAAATAATTAGGTCAAAATAATTCATTACCCTATCAATCTTGTATTTTGTAGAGGTTGACAGTATTGCATGTAAATTCGTATAAAATTAATTCAGACTTTTTTTAAAGGATGATTGATCTTCACCGCCAGAAAATAAATCCAGGTCAAGAAATTCTAGAGAGAGAATCTAAGTACTAAGGAGGTTGTATAGATATATACCTATAGATGTAGATGTCTCGACCAGGAATCAAACGGCGTTTACAGAGGGAACAAGCCCTCAAGAAATCAGCAGTTTCAACAAAATCTGCTGAATTGCAGCGGAGGGGTCGAGGAGACGCGGCAGAGGCGGCGGCGGTCCTCTGATCTAAACCGCCACTATAAAATGAGTTGTGAGGATAAAACGGCTGATTATTAGCTGTAGTACCTTCACCAGACTTGGTGGCGCCGTCGATTTCCAAGGTGAACTCCGTCATGCTTGTAGTCTTCTTCATTGGTGGACGTGGCCTCTTTCCTAACAACATATTACTCTCTCTGTCTCTCTCCTCGCTCTCTCTCTACCTGTATTGTGTATATATCTGTAGACTTGAGATTGGCGATTGAGGAAGAAAGAAAATAAAGAATTGAGAGAGTGAAGAGAGGAAGGCCGAGGGGGGTTGGGGGGTGAGAGTGGGAGTGGGATTTTGCTGGCAAGATAAACGGAAAGCCAGAAACGGAGGACTTAATCTGAGCCGTTGATTTGTTTAGGATTTAAGAAGTTGCATTATTGTTGTGAGGCCATGTCAGCATTTTTTAAGCCCTTGTTTGAGCATCGTTTTTTAGAAAAAAAAAATACATTTTTAAATATTATTTTGACATCATTTTAATAACATATTTTTCAATAAAATAATATTTTGCGTAAATTCAAAACTTTTCTTTATTTTTTAATCACACATTTTCCGTTAATACACTATTCAAAAATACATTTTTATAAAAAAAATGAGACTCAAACAAGACTTAATTGATAGGAATCAACTGTTAACTCTTTCCTAGTTTTATCATTTATGGCTTCAGGGAATATATTATTTAGTAATTTTTATTAAAAAAAATTTATTTAAAAAAATTCTACTTAGATCATCAACTTTAGACCCCTTTTTGAGCCACATTCTTTAAAAAAAAAAAAAATACATTTTTAAACAGCGATTTGATATTATTTTAGCCATACATTTTTCAATAAAATTATATTACACTAAATCCAAAATTTCTTCTCATTTTTTAACCACTTATTCTCTATCAATCTACTATTTCAAAATACATTCTTTCAAAATAATGTGATTTAAACACACACTTAGAAATTTCAATTTATTCATACTTTGTGTTTCATTGTTTAGATCGCACTTTGAGTATATTAAAATTTTGCTCTTTTATTTTTGAATCTTATGGTTTTATCCCCCTCTTTTAAGTGAAATATATTAGTGTAATAGTCTTTTCTAAAATTTTGTAGTAATTTTCATTTATTTAGGACTTACATTCAAGGTTATGATAGATTTAGAGTACATCTAATAAGATTTTAACTTATTTTTTCTTCTTATATGTGGTTCGGCCCAACATACACAGGCCTCGATTGTTTTAGTTAGGGTTGATCAAAGCTTGATATGTACATTGTTAATCATCCATTCAATACTCCAATGTCTCTACACATTTTTGAGTGTCCAATATGTCCACCCAAATGTTGCTCAACCATACACTTTCAGCTTTGCATTCGCTTATCACATTGGTAATTCTTCTTTACTGCGTCTCTAACTTTCCATTCAGCCACCAATTTCCTCCGAGGATTCTAATTTTATTACTCAGTCATCAAAGTGCTACATATTGACCTAATGAATGAAAATACATACCAATTAAAATGAGATGGGCTCCATTCGCAGTTAACATATCATTTAGTTCCTTCGTTCTGTTGTTGTAGACGTACTTGATATTTTGTTCAACAGTAAGATTATCAAAAATACTACAGAAGATGTTGTAACTTAAAATTAAATTTTCAAAACTTAAAATTGATTTTAATTTTTAGTTTTCCTTTATTTTAATATTCAGATTTAATAGAAAATTAAAAGCCATAATTATATTTTAACTTACACTTCAATTGAATTTATTCTCATTAGTGTGTAGGTTTAAGATGTACACTATAAAAAGAGAGGAGATTTTATAATTTGGACACGACGTGAAAACACAACTTGAGATACTTGAATACAAAAATATTTCAGCTATATTTTATATTATATTTCTATAATTTTGACAACTTGATGAGATGTTCGTTCTTTATCTTCCTATGATCGTGCCCATAGAAGGAGAATCGACTGTGAGCCACATGAATTTTATTTTGGAGCTATGTTGTGTCAAAAGTACTCACACGAAGGAAAGATAACATGAATTTAGGACACAGTGACGTGACTCTCAATGCTTGTGTTCTAAATCTCTTCTCTATTTTATGTTATGTTATCGTTAAATTGTACTTGCTCTTTTGTTATGTTAATTGATAATCAGTCTACACATAACTCACCCATTTTCCTAACAATTTAAAATATGTTGAGTGATTTGTGTATAAATTGTAGGTATTGGTTCAAATAATTTACCAAAAATTGGAAAATGAAAAGGTGTGTAAAAGTGAAAAATGAAAAGGTGTGACTACGTGCCAACTTCGACCAAATATTTGGACTTATCTGATGGTCAAATTGCAAAAGTAAATAGACCAACTTATTCTGCTCATCAAGTAGATCGTCGTGGTATATTTGAAATCTCGAAACCAATTCCGGATGAATGAGAAATTACAGACGAAAGTTAGAAGAAATGAAGTGTTGCAACTTTTCAAAGGATGTAGGTTTTGGCCAAATATTGCAACTTTTTGAAAGGATGCATATTTTGGCCCACACTACTTCATTTGCACCATTTCTACATCTATAAATAGGACCCTATGGACATGATTTTGGGTACACCAATTGCATTGAGCATTCATTCTCCTTTTGCAATTCTCTCATTTCTAATTCCATAACATTTTCATGCATTTCCTTGGGAGAGAGGGAATTCCGTTCGAGTTCAATGGTCGAAGTCATTTGGAGTGCTCCTATGGCTCGACGTGGTCGTTGTATCTTGGGAGATAATTGCTGGAAAATCGTTAGCACTGATGCGGGGCAAATTCATCTTAAGGAAATAGTTATACTCGTCTCGACCAATAGCATCACTTGCATCTAATTTTTTTTCTTATTTCTGATTTCATTTCTTCATACTTGATTTCAGAAAATGATAATTTTATTTATATGGTTTATGCAAAGTTCGATATGAAGAATCACATGTTTTAATTCAAGAATAAAAATGGTCATATTCGATAATCATTGGTTAGTTTCTCAAATTCTATTTTCCTTGTTTCAATTTCGTGAACGTGTAAGTTACATTTTATGAATATAATATGCACATAATCGGTGTGTTCCCCAATATTCTTAAGATGAATTTTGTTTTCGTGCATTTATATTTTTCATTATTCTATTTGCATGAACAAAGTATTAAATGGATTGGATGATAAAATCTAATTGCATAAACTCGACACCGATTTATGTTTTATGCTCGGTGGGGTTCTGTGCAACTCTTAAAAAAATAAAAATAAAAAAATGAACTGATCCATACATGAGAAATTATTATGTTATTATATGAATTATATCTTAAATGTCCATGCCATCCATTTGTTTAGTATATGATGAAAGTGAAGTATTATATATTGCACATGGTTGCAATTGTTAATCAATATATATGTCTGTCAATACATGTCTTTTCATAAATTAGTCAAGGACCATGAAGTTGGTTTATTTTTGAAAAAGTGCATGTGGTTTTTAAGGCAATTTATTAAATGATGACTCTTCATTTTCTAAATGCATTTTCAAATCCAATTTCTACTCTATCATCAACTTAATTTTCCTATCAAATAATATTACATGTATATTTATTTATATATGATCTATATATGTTGGTCATTGGTACAACTCCAATGTCACTGGAATAGATGCCAACTAATTGTGAAAATATGAACTTTCATGACTATTGTTTTATTGGAATATGAAATATGACATGGTAAATTAGTTGGTTAAATTTTCATATCTTGTTGAAATTTTACTAACTTTGACTATGATGATAGCCTCAATTAATTTGATAAAATTAAGTGGATATCATTATTTAGTAATGAGAATTAAGCCACTTAATTATTTGAAATTGTGGAAAATTATGTAGAATATTATGAAATATTTTAGGATCAATTTAGATGAAAAGGTGCGTCCTTTCATATGAAAAATCATGACTTTTAGGTGTGTCTCTTCGTAGAGATTAATTCCAAGAGGTATGTCTCTTCATAGAGATTAATTCCAAGAGGTGTGTCCTTTTGTAGGGTTGTGTCTCTTGAGAACACAACTTTTCAACCTATGGTTGATTCATTTGTTCAAGTTTGAATATGGTGAATATGTACCTTATTATTTGACATAAAATGAAAATATCATGTGAAATGTCACAAATGTGATAAGTTGCATATCTTACCATGCTTAACCCTCTTTATTGTTGAATTTAACTTCAATCGTGAAACCAATTAAGTTAGTATATGTTTTGAAAGCATTGTTGATCCATATGATGACCTTGATTTAATTTGAATGATTAAAATTAATTAGATTGAAGTACGTTATATGCAAGTTGACGACCACTACTTTGAAAGTACATAGACTTTCATGAACCACTCGATACGGATATTATCTAGGAGATAAATGAATAGAATTATAAAAGAGTTGCTGAATTCTAAGTTCAAGTATAACCCAAGAATGTGAGGGGTTAAATTTAATGCTTGTAAAGTTGAAATGGAAAGTTCAAAACTTGTGGATGCAACATTATTAGATTACATATGTATTCCTAATTGAGGAATTGTGGGGGTAATTCAGTTTAACAGTTACGTTTGCTTCTATCTTATAATCACAAAACGATATCTATGAAAGTGAAAAGATAGAAAACCCTTATACTAATTATAAGAATGATATATACTAAGTCTAAAGTGGATGAAATGGGTTGTAAAACTAATTATGGCATTTGTATAGACATGCAAGAACAATTGGAATATTCTTATATGAAGAATATTCATAAAGTTCAAATGCATCGTAATATTTCAATGATGATATTGAATACCCATGATTCTGAAATCCACTAGTAAAAGTGATTGACTAGTTTAGTGTTTGATAGAAATTCTTCAGCCTTGTTTGGAATTAATAAAGTTTTAGATAAAGCTAATAAGAATCATGTAGTTTCATGAAAGGATTTCTTGGTGGTAACAATTTGTATCTATTAAATAAAATCAATCGTTTGCTAGCAATAATTGATAAGATATTAATTAAATGTAATGGTAGGTTTAGACATATAAGTCATAGACATAATACCATTAAGCAATTGATCTCAATGGTGTAAACTCGTGGTACCTTTAAGAGATTTACAATAAGATTAAGTATACTGCATATCGAAAGGAATGTGATTGAGCCTACTATGTTAGAGTCCTTATAATGGCAAGCCTACCTTATTGACTGGAGATCCCAAGATCTTGGTTCAAAGGGAGAACTAAGTTATGAGGATTCCATGAAGCACTAAGGAAAATAGTTTCCTAACTTATTCCTTTGATATTAAAGTCCTTTCTACA